TCTCTCTCTCTCTCTCTCTCTCTCTCTCTCTCTCTCTCTCTCTCTCTCTCTCTCTCTCTCTCTCTTTCTCTCTGACAACAACCAGCGTCGGCAAACACTTACATCGCACGCAATAGTCAACCTCACCCAGCTGGGAAAAAAAAAAGAATGTTGATTGCGAGAGGTTGACTACTAAGGGCCTGAACGAGTACAACCAGCAGCGGTGTACACTTACATGGCCCGCAGTAGTCAACCTGTCGCAGAGATGCATACATACACTGGACAGACAGAGAGGTTGGCTACCGCGGGGCGATGGGACAACAACCACCAATGGTACACACAGTCATGGCATGCAGTAGTATACCTATTGCAGCGTGGAAAACAACACTCTGCTTTATCGACACGTTCACCAGTCACCAATGCAACACGACGCCAAACGTGACATGCGAGACCAGAATTGGCCTGCAAGGGGGACAACTTCGTGCTGTCGGACAGGTAGACATGCGTACACACAGATAGAAAGAGAGAGAGAGAGAGAGAGAGAGAGAGAGAGAGAGAGAGAGATCACGCTTCCCTGACGACCCGCGCTGCCACAATTTGACATCTTCTGTACAGAGTTTCCGAGCACTCATGGATGTCAAGTCCTTTCCTGCAATATTCACAGTTTTTTTTCGCTCCATGACGGCCTGCGTTCAGTAACACCGGTCCCATTATATCTTTGATATATGAAATTATATGCGAAAAACAGTCCACCACCAGCCTCGCCATTTGTCGAGAGTTTGCGTCAGCAACGAAATTTTCAAAAATTTCCGTCGTCATAGGCATAACAAAAGATTCTGGTACAGCTGAAGGTGCTTTGCTGGCAAGCACGCAGGGGAAGTTGTGACGCACGTGGTGAGATTTCAGTGCGGCAACATCACTGCACGCAAACAGGACATGTGGCGCAGGCGCATCCTTCCCAAGAGTGGCCCCATTCCCCGAACACACTCCGATTGGTCTGTCAGGTTCCTCTCTTCCCTTCTTCGTTTCACCTTCTCCACATCCCATAACATCTCCTTCCGTACATGTCACTGTCAGTTCCCCAGCCAACATCCTGCCTCGAGTGTGTTGCAGGGCATCCATTACGTCGGAGCAACTGCTCAGCAGAGTCGCGATTTTTGCAGGAAGCTCGTCATTAACAGACCCGACACGCACTTCACTCAGACCGTACTCGTCAACAGTTTCCGTACAGTGACGAATGCAGTCCTCGGCGAAGGCTAAGAGGTCAACGACGCTGCGTGCCGTCATAGGTATCGAACCTGTGTTGTAATCTTGGGAATTGTACAATGCCCACCCCTCCTTGAGCACACACTTTCCGCAGCTGGCAAGACACATGACATCCCCTCCGTCTAATTCCCTGTTTGTTGTCTTCGTGACATGGGCGGAGAACCGCTTCAAGACGGCGGTGCGCCTTTCCCTTTCAATATCCAGCCATGCCTGAAACTTGTCGAACGTGGTGTTCTTCGTTTTAGCAATTGCCTGAAGTCTGGCTGACATGTCCTCCCTCAGACGAGTAACGTCTAGTATATCTTTCGGGTTGTCAAGCAACAACCAGAACACGGTGACCATCCTGTGCTCCGCGGTTTCCGTCATTTCGTCGAGAAGCGACTTGACGCGGTGTAGTTCGTCTGACATCTCTCTAAGCAGTACTTTCTGCTTATGCACCTCCTCTGTTAGCCTGCCTATATGTTCTCGGTCGCTAACTACAGTCCGACCCTGTTTTGATCCGTTTCAGATGTATTGTGGTCCTTGCCGCCTGGGGGAAGGAAGTCATCCATCCTTGCATGACACTCTCCGCCCAGCTTCCTTTTCTGCCCGGTCGTGGTGAACGTTGACATCTGGAGAGCAGTGTATACACAGACAAATACGTGGACACAACAAGAGAGAGAGAGAGAGAGAGAGAGAGAGAGAGAGAGAGAGAGAGAGAGAGAGAGCCTCACTGCTTCCGTACAATGGCGCCAACAGAAGTACGTACAACTCAACATGGCGGACCCTTTTTTCGAAACGCAAGCGTCAGAACCAGGAATTAAGCAAGACATCAACGCCAGAACGCATGCAAGTAAACACATATAAATCGGACGCGACAGGGACACAGAGAGACAGCCCTATTCCGGACGCAGAGATAGACCCGGAAGCCACGAACAAACAAACTCACGCACGGTCACCCATTCTGATGTTGACCGAAGTTGGCTACTGCGGGCCAGAAATAAACATATGCACATCGATGCATGTGCCGATGGCCCGCAATAGTCAACCTCTCTCTCTCTCTCTATCTATCTATCTATCTATCTATCTATCTATCTATCTATCTATCTATCTATCTATCTCATTGCTAGAAAAAAAAGCGAAAGAAACGACAACGCTGCAAAGGGGAAAAAAAAAAAAAATTACAAACACGCACCCTCCTTCCTTCTCTCTCCCTATCTTTATTTCTCTCTTTCTTTCCTTCCTTCCCTC